CCCCCCCCGACTACGTATTCTGCAGGCCCTCGGCGAACCACACTTGCCCTCGAGAAGCATTCCCATAAAGCGCAGATCGGTGCTTCGGTTTCACAAGGAGCAGCTTGAGATAATGGATGATTCTGTTGGCCGCTTCTCCCCGGATAGACGATCGAAGTTGACCCCTCCTGATCCCCAGCTCGGTCCCAGTTGCTACATACTGTTCCGGGAGACAAGTCATGCCGAAACACGAAGATCAGATTTTCGAGATGTCGTGCGTACAGTATGACTGAAGATGTGACGAACCTTGCAGAGCGGTTTGTACACTTTCCCGCATATCATTAGGCAAGGAGTTCGGAATGAAGGCACGCCGCGCACATCAGTTGCCGTGAGCCGAAACATCAAACGTTCAGGTTTCACGTATGCCCATTTGCCTACCTTGCCGGTGATGGACGACTGGTGTTAACAGGCAAATGTCCCGAATGGATATGTTTTCTGGCACCAAAAAGAGCGGCGGCGCGGGCACCAACAGCTGGCCGGGCCACAGGAAAACCAGCAGTGGGATGGGCTTTCTACTCTCTTCCGCGCAGCCCCACTCGAGGGTGCCGTCTAGAACCGACGACAGGTCACCGTGGGAGGCGGCCTCGATGGCAGCGCCGGCGCCCCCACCGTTGCCGCGACCAACGGGCGCGGGAGTAGCGCAGACACCTGTCGCTGCCACGTCGACAAGAGCGGGGCAGCAGCGACGGGGGAGCCAGGGTCAGCCCGCCAGCAACATTAGTGCTGGAAGGCTCGAAAGGGCTACCGGCGGAGGCGGCGGCAATTCTGGCGTTGATGGGTGCCGTATTGCTTCCAAGACTCCCGCGGGGGTGGCGGTAGCGCATGGCGTAGGGCACAGCGTCGGAGCGGGGGATAGCCAGCCGCCTCCCCAGGGCGACGTGAACTACCCCGATACGCCGCCGCCGCTCCGGCGCATGCAACGGCGAGGGAGCCTGGTGAATCGGGAGGTGCCCCCGGAGGATGACCTCAAGGAACCCATCGAGCCCGAGCTCATGATCGGAGAGATTCAGGTCCGTACACACGATGTTGTATCCTGGTCGAAGAGGTTTTGTGATGCCTCCCTCGGCACCAACCCTTGGTACGCCGCCCTCTTTTGCCCTCTACTCGGCCCTCCCTCGAACAGCTATCTCTGTAGATGTCATGCCGCCAGCAGCTATGCATGTTTTGTTTGATCTCCCGTTGGCTCAGGCTTCCTTCCACCACTCGATTATCTTAGATTGGTTGATCTCTTGAAAAATGCTGTGATTTGTTGCCCCGCGTGGTCGAAACGCCGAAGATCGAACGGCTGTCACTGCTCGTCTTGACAACTTTTCCATCGACTGATCCTCATTTGGTTTGACATTCACCCTGGAGGCTTGTAGCCGCACTCTCGTATCTTGCTGAGCTGCTGCTGCTGCTGCTGCTGCTGCTATTGCCGCTGCTGCTGTCATTCCTGCTGCCGCCTTGCTCGTGCTTCAGAGTATCCGTCTACACGAGGAGATCGCGCTCGTGCGGAGGGCCATCGTGTTGATCATGTTGAGCCTCGTGGCCGCTGTCCTCGTGCGCGAGTTCGCAGGAGAATTGTGAGACACAGGGCGAGGGCAAATGACACCCAGGAAGACGTAGATGAGACTGATAGACAGAGTATATGAGGCTTGGCAGAGTCAGAGCTGGCTAGTTGGAGAGACAATGATTCTCCCTAACCCATCAGGTTCTGTCGGCATAGCATTACTCCCTGCAGACGACAAGACCTGTGGTCGTTTTCTTCATACATAACTCAGGATCTGTGAAATCCAAAATCGCATCAAGTATGTGTTGGGGCTATACACTTGTACTGCAAACGCCATGCGTATACCACGTTGCTGTGCGTGGGGGGTCAACATTGCTTATTTTCGCGTTTCGTTTTCATGCAAGCAACGCGAACCCTCTTTCTCGAGTCAATCAACCCCGTTGCAGCGAGCCCCTCCACAAGCGCCAAGTTATCGGAGGATAACAGGGTGTTTCGTCCGACACATCAACCTTTGCGCAAGGATTCCCTCGTTTGTTCGCTGGTGGTTTGGATGCCGCGCCTACTGCTGTGTAGGCATGGGCAGTGGCGATATTGGTTGCGACTCTTCCAACCACCTGCTCGCACACGTGTCTCTCTGCTTGTGCAGGGACAAGGACGTGAACATTCGCGAGGTTGTATTTTTCGTGTCTTTGCTTCTCCTGTCCTTCCCGGTGATCCGCTTCACCGCCAGACTGTTCGCCTTTGTCATCACCACGAGGGCGTCCGGGCTTCTCTATAGGGGTAACCGGTGCGTGTTAGCGACCGTACCATTCAATAAGTACCAGGCGTGTTCTCCGTTTGGGCGGGTACGCGTAGCTACGTACACAATTCTTGAGTGTGGCCGTGTCCGCGAAGATTGACTGTGTGCTCCCCATCGGCTCTCAGGCAGAGTGTCGAATGGTTGATGTTTGGCACGGCGTGAAATTGGTACAGCGACTTCCCCCTCCCCCCCAAACAAGCAAGCAATCGTGAAACACCTGCGGCGTTTCCACCCTCGTTGTATTTTGTGCGTGATGCGAGCAGCTACTACTTCGTGGTCGCTCTTCACTACGATATTGCCGTCACCATTTGGTCAGTCGTGGCCAGGTACATTTGGAAAGAGCTGTTTCACGAGTGGGTGTACACGGACGACAGTAAAATGGCGAGAACTATATTCCGACACGTCAGCCCTGTGCTCGAGGTATGACCCGTGTGTCGCGGCGTGGTGTGGAGTCTTTTGCACTACAGCAGTACCCGGCCGGCCGGCCGCTGTTTCGAGATGGTTGTTGTTTGATCGTTGTTGATTTCTTCTTCCGTTGTAGTGGTGTTCCCATCTCCGAGCAAGTAGGCGTGTGCGCAAGTTGTTTTGCAAGTTGGTCGAAGACACTCGATCCCAGTCGTGGAGGTGGGCCTGCCACCCTCCGTTTCCTTCTATTGCCGGGGGAACCATTTCCATGAATGACCGAAACTTTACTGTGTTGTAGAGGACCTGTGTCCTGTCTACATTCGCGCATCTGGGTGTTTGGTGTACTCGAATGCGTCCTTTGAGCGCGGTCTTCGCGCCTGGTGCCCAAACTCCACATTGCCTTGCTCGTCCCATGTCACTGTTAGCGCGTTTGACGTGTGCAGAAGGTGCAACAATGTTTACTCCTTCTAATATTTGGCATAACAGGTTTTTTACAATTCCTTTCCTTCTGGCATGTTTGTTGCCAAGCTTCCGCGGTCGTCGCCCCGGTTTTGGGGGCATCGATTGTCCGGGAGATTGCGAGCGAGCGACTCACCATACCCACCTTCGGTGGCGCTGGGCAAACCGATGCTGCTGCAAGACGTCGACCCGTTGTTCGCCTGTAGCATGGTAGTCTGGGCCGGCAGCAACCATTGAGTGTTCGCATCGATGCAGGCGTTGCATGAGGCACCATGGTGTGTGGAACTGTTGATGCAAACAGCCCCGCCCGCTCTGCCTGATGTCCGATGCCCTTCTGCTTGGTGACCGACGAAACAGTGCCATCTCGCCCTTCGAGTGGGCATCCTCTTGAAGAACTACTTGGTGCTGCTCGTGGCGACGTCATACCTTTGGAGACCCTACCTCCAAAGGGTGCAGGTGAGTTTGTGCACATCGTCACCTGAAATCATGGGCAGACCTTGAGCGGTTTGCTCATTTTTTCGCGGCGGTTTTTCAGTAGTGTTTACGACGACGTCTTTTCATTCGTCTGCTTCACTGCTTCTGGTTGGGCTTTGGTATGCTTTTGCGTTCCCCACGTGATTTTGCGTGGTTTGGCTGGGTCGGAGTATCTGCCGTGTACCTCCGCGCATTTGTGGCGTAGTCGTCGTCCCAGAGTTTATTGTTCATCACGTTGCGTTGAGGTTTGTGCCTTTGTGCCCAAATGGTTTCGACTCACTTGCCTGTGTTTCTTTTTTCATCCTCTTCCGGATGCCGAACTTCGCCGGGGCCAACAGAGTAGCATCCTGGCGCAGTACATCCTGCTGCTGCTCACAGACTACTGCACCAAGGGCTACTGCAACCCTGGCGACCAGAACTTTGCGATCGAGATGGGGCGGCAGGGCATCAAGGAAGGGAAGAACATCTCTCTCTACGCAGTCTCGAAGGCCATGGGATTCATTCCCCGAAACAAGCTCGGGCACACATTTTTCAGGTATGCAATTGCGCACGTGGTGTATTTGAGGCATGTCTACTGCACGGGTTGGCGGCATGTTTTTGTCGTCCTTGGTTGTGTTTTCTGGCATGTTTTGACTATGGCCGTCCCATGGATTGATTCTGTCCGGTGGTGAATCACTTTACCCTCGTTCGTGGCTTGGGGGATCGACAGGCAGCTAGCGGGAAGCAACACGCTAGATTCGAGCAAGGACGCGACCACGCTCGGGAACTTCCTGTTCGATCAGCTCATCATCCGCAGCCGCCCGCCGCCAGCCCGACCCACCACGAAGACTTCGCCTCCGCGCAAGAGCCTCGCCGCTGCGTTCACCGGGGCCGGAGGCGGGAGCATCCGGATGTCGCGAGGCAGCCACGGCGTCGGGGGCACGTACAGGGCTCTCCCCCGCTTCGGCGGTCAGATGCAGAAGCGAAACAGCGAGTCGATGGCGGTGCCCGCCTCCCCGCGGACCCCCGTGGCCTCTCCGAAGAGGTTCTCGACGTTCGACGCCGGTCGCCCTCAAGTTGAAGGAATGCCGTTGGCGATTGGCGGTGGGGGCGGCGCTGCGGCGGGTAAGGTGCCGGTTGCCAAGGCGGTCTCCAGCAAGGCTTCCAGCACCCTCAGCAAGCTCGTCCCCGTGGCTGGGCGTGCCTCGTTGATGTCGTCCGGCAGAGGGAGTGCCAGCGGCGGCACCGAGAGCAGCGATGTTCCCGGCGGTGATGCCGGGACCACCTCCTCTGCCAACACCTCCCCTGGCAGAAGCAGGGGCCGCCGACGTGAGGCTAGGACTTGTGTGAACGGGGTCGGCCTGTCGATCGCAGATGGTTCTGGGGGGGAAATGGAGGCGACCGGTGAAACCGGCACGGAGGGGGAGAGCCCCGAGCAGCCGGTGGTTTCAACGTCGCCGAGCGGGCGCGATACGAGGATAGATCGGGCCCGGGTTCTTGCCCAAAACAGGAACGTTTTTTCCAGCTGCAGCAGCGTCGCCAACAGCAGCAACTACGGCGATAAGGAGTGCGGCGACGGCGTTGACGGAGAAGGCCGTCAGCAGGACCAAGAGGATGGAGTGAAGGGGCAGGCAGGGCGGAGTGGTGAGACGGAAGCCGAGAAAAAGGAGAAGCCAAAGCAGGAGGAGGTGCTGGTGCGGAAGACATTTTGCCCGGCGCTTGAGCCGGAGCTGCTCGACGTGGCGTTCAAGATCTTCGACCTCGACAACAGCGGCACCATTACCAAGGAGGTGCGGCCAGAATAGTCGGGGCGGCAGTACACAAGGTATAACCGGCACGATCAAGGCAAAGCTGTTTGTGGCGCAAACGACGACAGATTGTGCACGGGCTTGGTTTGTGTCGAAGGACATACGGGTGACTTGAAAGGTCCAAGGACCGATCCTCATTGGAAGGTTGAGCATGCCGACGCTTCTCGACGGTTGTGAGGAAGAAGTGTCTACACGTTTTAATTTGAATCTGGCGGGGGGATCGCATCTGAAGGGGTTACCGATCACGTGCACGCTTGATCCGTTCTCTTGCTGTCCGTTGAACCTCGTTACCCAGCTTGAAGAGGACCCGCCAGTACTCTGAAGGTAGACCTCGATATGTGTGATGGTGAACGACGTATGGCATGTTCCGTCTGTTCGTTGGTTCCCAACACGGTTTGTTTCTATGTTTCGTCTGGTCTCAACGTTAACTGTAAAGGAAATGGTGCTGGGCGTTGTCGGGACATTCAAGGACCACAGGAGCCTCGCCCACACCCTGCAGGACAGCGAGCACATCGCGCAAAAGCTTGGCCTCATCATCATGTGTGTCATCCTCTTCATCCTTTTCGTGAGTGAAATGCCAAGGGTCGAAAAATTGCGCGTGTCGCGACGCAAACGAGTTTGCCACGTGCGACTGAGTGATGCTAGTGGACGGTGACCGGGGGCAATATCCAGTGCAGCCGATGACATCCCACGCATTCGCGGTGTTGTCTTCCACACGGTTGTGGTTCGAAGGCCATACCATGCCGAAGACGTTCACCGTATTCATGTTTTTCGAGGGCCCATCATTAGCCATAGGCATGCCCGCCCCCTTGGCGTCCTCGAGGAGCAGGTTCGTGCCTCCGAAAGGTGAGCCTTGCAAGAGCCACTTATCTACAAAACGCTCACCACCTGCCGCACCAATATCAATGGATTTTCAGTTCGTGTGGCTGTCGATCTGGGGGGCGGACGTGGTCTCCCTGAGCGTGACCTTCGCGTCGTTCCTGATCGCCTTCTCCTTCATGATCGGCACCGCGGCGAGCAATCTCATGTCCGCGGTGCTCTTCATCTTCGTGTCGAGGCTGTACGACGTCGGGGACCGGGTGCACATCTACAGCGGCAGCAACACCCGAGGCGAGGAGCCCACGAACGTCACGGTCGTGAAAGTGGACCTCATGACGACCGTGTTCAAGCGCTGGGACGAGCAGGTGGAATATTGTTTTTGTTCGCCTCTGGTTGGTGTTCTTCCCGTTGTTCCTACACATGCCAACACCGAGCAGGTGGCGGGAGGGGCGCTGGCGCGTCCAAGAGGGTCGCGGGAATCATGCGGGCCCCTTCTTGGCATCGGCCGCGCTGGCAGATAGACCGACGGAAAAAAGACATCGTCGAAGAGGAAACAGTTATAATGCTTCCATTAATGGCGCTCTCCCGGCAGGGTGACCTGGACTGGACGGACAATGTCACCCTCCCAAAGCTTGTGGATCCCGAAGCACGTGCCGTGATTTCACCGCTGGTCCTTCCCACTCATTGTGGGTTCAGGACGATTTCCCGTGGTCACGAGCTTTACCCGAAATATGGTGCTCGAGGACAACGGGACTTGTAGACACGAAGACAAGGTCCAGACACCGATTGCCCAAGTGCCAACGTGCAGTCTACGAAGTCCAGCAGCACAAAAAGACGGGTTCTGACCCCAGTAAACAAGACAAGCCGAAAATCGGCACCAAACGAGCCTCACACGAAAAGCGAAGTCATGTTGGTATGTAGTGGTGTTGGGTCATCCCACCCCAGATTCGTAGGGCGAATATCGTCATGTCCTCGCTCCCGTTCCCCATTCACGCGCTGTTTCACGTTCTGCTCTTGTTGCTGTTCCAGGTGTTTTATATGCCGAACCATTTGCTGGCAACGAAGACGATCGTTAATATCCAGAGGACGGCGCACCAATGGCACGAGTTCATGATTCAGGTGTGCTTGCCGTGGCAACAGGTTGAAGTTTTGAGTGACTTGGAGTCGGAGGCCAGGAGAACGCTGTGGTCTCCGTGCGAGCGGCACAATGCACAAGATGGGTGGCAGCATGCATATGTACGACTTTTTCGGGGCACTATTCGCCTAGTGTGCTATGAAGTGAAGCAAAGGGCGAACCAAGTTTAGATGTATTTCGATGAAATGCGTGCGGCATTCGTGAAGGTTAGGGCACCACAGGGTACGCAAAGTAGAGACAATCCATTGTAGTTGTGTCGTCAGGCGAGAGGGTGGCTTCGAGCATACGCTTGTAGGGCACGGGACGTTTGCATGTGGTCAGTTTGGGAGCTCTGCTTGACTGGTCGCGGGCGAGCTCAGGAGATGCTTCCGAATCATGGTCGTATTATTACATTTTCTGACGTGCCGGCAGCCTGAAATGTACGGTGCGATTGAACCGCCATGCTATCGTCCTTGCTGCACTCTTCATTCGCGTTCGTTAACATGGTCCGTGCTGTTCGCCTCTCTCTGGATGATTCCGGCGTCTATGATTTGCCTCCAGGTTGCAGCTACTACCACCCCCGAGAAGCTGACAGCATTGCAGGCCTCGCTGCAGGAGTTTTCCAAAAGCAAGGACAAGCCGGAGGGTACGTTAGACTATTGGTTGCGATCGTCACGGGTGATCTTGTTGTTGTGATCGGCAATAGGGTTGTTTTGCTGTCGAAGCACGTAACACCCCGTGGTCTGCTGGAATCGCCTCTATATGGGCATGATGTACTTCTCAGAAGGGAGCTTTCATATGACTGAACAGTTCCACGTGCGCAAGTGTCGCTGAATGGCTCAGGCGCTACTGGAGGATTGGCTCAACCTACATGTGGTACGTTCGCACGTCGAGAAGAAGGATCAGAAACCAACCTTTTTGTTCTTTTTTTTTGCGTTTCTCGATGACGGCGCATGGCAGGGCTGTACCCGCGCATGGGTTTCTCGCTGGTGAGAATCGAAGACAGCACCAAGCTGACGATTCGTATCACGTTCCGGCAAAGGGGCAACTGGCAGGTGGGCCAAGAGGCGATAGTGGTCGTGGTAGAAGGCAGTACATCTGTCAAACGCTCCCGCTTCCAAGCTGTCATGAGCAAGTTCTGCCGGGGAATGTGCAAAAGATTTGCCGTGAAGCGTGATGCTGGCCCATTAGGGTAACCTCAGGGTGACCTGCCGGCAGGAAGAACGACTGAATAGTGTAAGCTTCGACGGCGGGCACGGGAAGGAAGACTAGGCGGCATTCGTCACCCCTCTTCGGTGGGGAGCAAATGTGGCCAAGGGTATGTAGAAGCTTTCCTGGCTGGGAACAACTTAATGCCTCGCCCATCCGTCCCTCTTGGCTCCTCCGCTCCCCCATGTTTTCCTGTTTTGCTGGCCATACCGTATCGTTCGGTCGATCTGCTCTTACCCATCAGAACATGGAAAAGAAGTGGGCCTGCCAGAGTATGTGCACCTGGGCCATCAAGAGCGCCTGTGACAGCCTCAACATTTCGTACTTCCTGCCGGAGATTCCTGTTCAGATGAAGGAGAAATCGGCCTAACTTCCTTTCTCCGTATTATGGTGCTGCCGTGTGTTGGCGCCGGTGCCCTCCTAGAAATCGCACTCCCGATTGCGTGAGTATATTCTTGGACGTGTGTGCCTTGCCGTATGGTGGCACTAGCTTTACCTGCTACATTTGGGAGCGTCATTCGAAAACCCTTCCTGGCTTAGGTTAGATGTAGAATCAATATCCGGCCCTCCGAATGGTACGCGTCGACAGAAAGCACTAGCTGTCTCCTCTCATGTACGTGTCGTTTCTGGCTTGTTGTCCACGTCCAGAATCATTTTCATGTACGCACATAGCCATATGTATGTAGCCCAACCACGGTGAACCTTCGTCGTAGATCGCACGGGGTCAAGATGATTTCCGACCGTTTCGAATGTAGAGAGTGGGTGGGAGGCTCGGGTGTTTCGCAACAACGTCAACCAACGCGTTGTTGTTGTACCTGTTATCTGTGCTGGCATGGTACCATGGTATCGGCCCGGTGACGGGATCGCAGAAGGGAATCCACGTAAATAGTATTAGATGGCAAAGCGGAGGAGGCGGGTTCTGCTTGTAGTGTAGTCCCCGCTACCCGCTACCCGCAGGGAAACCATGATTGCCTTTGGGCCAACCACCGAACACCACAGGACTTTTTCTTTTCTGTATATTTGATCTTCAGGGCAGTACGGCGCGCTTTGGGTTTGCGCAAAATATTTGTTAGATGACAGCTGCTTCTTTTCTTAAATATGGTTCGCTCGAGTGAAACGCGAAGGGGCACCCGGCGGGCTGTCACTCGCATTTTCCATGTCTGGCCCATGTTCCGTTCTAATAGAAAACGTGGGGATAAGGTTGAAGTGAATGTGCTGCAACTGTTAAGGCGTCGTGAAAGTGTACGATAGAACCATAGTTGTTGGGCTTCGCGCGAAGAGTTGCGTGAGTTTGTTCGCCTTTTCGTCAGCCAACAATCGGCAAAGCCCACAGGCAGACGATTTGTCCTAGATATGGTGTGTGTTCGCGTGTTTGGTACGTCGTGCGTGTGCGTTCGTTTCGGACGCTGTGCCAAGTTTAGTTGTGTCGTTATTCTATCTTGTGGTCTCACGTATTTGTTTTTGTTGTGCGTGGTGTTCTACCTGTTCCGTGTTGAGTTTGTTGTATATGTGTTGGGCGTGTTCGTGATCCCCATCCATTTGCCTACGAAACCGTTGAGGTTCGGCGTTGCTAGCGTCTTTGACGAGAGGGCTAACTTCGCCTTCTCACCTCGTGCCTCGTTTATTCATTGTCGGGGCATTGAAGAGGTGAGTCGATGCTAATTGCTCTCCACAACTGGGTGTGGCACCGAGAAATGGCCAGCTCTGGCGAGCTTTTGTGTTTGTGGTGCGTGCTTGCAACAATCGTCATGTCGGGGCTTTCGATCAGAACAAGTTTTATCTCATATATTGGCCTGCTCGACGTACGTGGGGCGTTTTACCGCTGTCTATTCATTTCTGCTGTTTTGGTTGTTGAAGTGTTTGCGCGGTTGAGAACCTCGTATTTTTTCTGTTGCTGTGACCCCTTCATGATTAGCTGATCGCAGGTGTCTATCTTCGGCCACCATCGCTGTTGAGCGACAAGATACTGGTGCAAAACGGTGCGGGCTTGTTCGTTCAGAAGCAAATCATGGAACAGTTTTTTTGTGGCGATCAGAATGAACCGGATGGAGACGGCGGCTCCTCCGTTGTCATGGCCTTTTTTCGGCTGATCTGAACTCGGTGGTGAGATGCGACCGTGAGGCGTAAACAAATGTGGGCATCACGCTTTTTGCGAACTCCACCGTGGCGCCAGCGCACAGACTTCCCGATTTCGTCCGGGCTCGAGAGCGGAAGTTTGTGTGCCGTCCACACTATTTCCGTTTACTCAGACGCCGCCGACCGCTTGCTTCACGCCATACGGCGCATGTCGGCACAGCGCCAGGTTCGCGCAATGGCGGGCGAGCTGATCCGGTGTGTTTATTGCACAGCCGCGTGTACTTGTCTGCCTGCATGTTTTGTATCGTGCCTTAGCTCGCGCTGTTCCAGCCTGTACGGGATATCTCGCTCAAAGTGATAAAGGAAGCGTGAAATAAATGGGTCGCGACTTTCAGTTCCCATGCCTCCAGCTCATCAAGGGTGGTTGAGCACGCGGTGAGTCCAAAAATGCAAGTCATTGCTAGCGAGCTTCCGCGGGGTGTGACACCACCGAGTCATTCGCGGACGCTTCTCAGCGGTTCGAAAATCATCGATGGGTCATGCTACGCACACCACAAGACTCAGCATGTCGCTATTTGGACAAGAAGCTGTAGCATCAGGGGTTTCCCAATAAGAGAACCGTCAACCGCGCACTGGGGGCCATTCCTGGAATATCGGATTCGTTTAAGTACACACAATGCACGAGTCCGGACCCATCTGATGCAGGCGCGACAAAAAGGGCAACCGCATGGCTGGTATGATCAAGCGCTTAGAGGGTGCATTTCACGGCGCGAACATATAGTAGTGACAAGCACAAGTTCCGGCCAATCAACAGGATACATCACCCGACGCCACTTGGATCTCAAAGATCAAGCACACACCTCAACGGCGGAACAAGCGAAGGGACACCCGGTATTCATTGCGTCAAGGCACTTAATCTTCACGGTCTACGGTCAACACACAGCTTTCGTAATCTTCTCGCTTGCTCCATCCACAACACCTCCGATGAACATTCCGTCAGGATACCCACGTCCTAACCTGTACTTCCGACTTCCTGTTGAATCAGACGACAGGAGAAAAATCAGTGCTACACATAAGCCCTCGCAGTCAGACTCCCTCATGAACACACAACAAAAAAAGTCAAGGGCTGTTACCAACAAATGGGCACTTTCAGGTCGATGCATGAACACAGGGAGAAACGAGGAGGGGAAAACCCGTCAGTGACAAGGATCAACGAGAGTATTCATGTCTCACTCGAGCACTCAACACCACACGTGTTGTGATCAAATCGCGAAAAATCGCCGACAGCCAGATAAGCATCCTCCACAATGCAAACACATAAACCCCCCTTTTCACAAAAGCAATTGACACATGCGCAACTCAATTTGGGTAGATAACATACAAGGTTGATGGGTGTTTGACCGGCGGAAGGGGGGGCGATCGGTGGCCTGCCACTTTAGAGTAACGCACCGTTGCCACTTCAATGTCCTGGTTGCAGAAAGGAACGCAGCGACCGTGGAGACTAATGATCCATGAAAACAGAGGAAAAGGCCCCGGCCAGTATATCCTTCCCGCGGATGTCTTTACGTCAAGCTGCTGAACGACTGATACCAAGGGCGGAACACGCACTCAGAGAACAAGTGCCATCTTGGGGTTTAGTGAGACGGACACCACAAAAACACGCCAGAAACTGTAGGATACGCACACAATACAAAACAACTCTCACCGTCCAACACTTGGCAAGCAGGGCACAACTATATTAAAACAATGAGTGGCCATGGCAGGCGGTACTCTACAAACGGGACTTCAAAAAATCAAGACATCTTGTTCTTCATAACGACAGGAACCTCCGGCAGATAGTAGGTGATGCCAATGGTATCGCACGCATTCTTGATGGCCCAGGTACACATGCTCTGGCAGGCCCATTTTTTTTCCATGCTCTGGTTGATAAATCGACGGACAGGCACGCGGAATCGTAAGTTGGGGACAGTTACAAGCCATGCTGCACAAACTGGGAGCGGCGACGGGATGTTTTTGCTACCGTACGACTTTCGCACGGGAGGCTGGGGAACCAACGCAACATTTCGAGAGGCGAAAAGCCACCAAAGGTCAAACCCATTTCACTGCACAGCGGTCGGCAACCGCGACTTGACCAGCCGTGTCAGCACATGTCACAGAGAGAGACAGCGTAGACTGCATGAAAGCCCATGCACTTTCTATCAACTGGAGAAACAATGGTCTCAAGCGCTTTGTTGCCATCGGCACAGTCGAGCACTAGATCGACACCATTTCTCTTCAATCTCCACCACCCTCCCCTACTCACCCATCCGACCAAACCACACCCCACCCCACGGTTGTTCTCTCGAACCCGTTCGGGTGTCCTGTTGCGTCAGTCTCCATCCATACTCTAGCACCGCTGGAAAGAAAGCAAAAACGAATCGGCTACATCGTTCATACCTCACGATAAGGTACGATGGAGAGCTGCCGCCTTACTTGCTCCTTTCACGCTCCACAAGAGCACACACAACGGGGATGCAAGCCCAAAACCGCGAAAATCAAGACGCCTTGATTACCACCATGCGGAGGATTGCCCTGCTGTATCTACCACGCTTTTGCTTTAGACTCACCTGCCAGTTGCCCCTCTGCCGGAAGACAATCCGGATGGACAGTCTCGTGCTGTCCTCTATTCCCGTCAGCGAGAAGCCCATGCGCGGGTACAGGCCTATTTGTCGCCGGCAAAAAAAATTCAAATGAAGCAAACCGCGGCAACAATGACATATCTTGCCATTCGTTGGTCCGTTGCAACCCTTTGATCTCGAGTTTTTAACGACAAAAGCAAGCTTCTGCCTGGGCGTACAGTGCGCAATGCTCCAGTTGCTACGTCGATGCGCCACGACAGGTGTGTTCAAGGTATTTCTTAGAGTTATAGGGAGCCCATTTTTCGACCGTGTGAAACTAAAGCGGCGCAGACGCACGTCGTGCTGCATCTTGGCCGGAATCGCACATTTCATAGGGTGTTTTCCGATGTGTTCCATCAATCACCGAGCAAGACCGGCCCGCATACCCGAGAAAAACAGACGTCACGCTTTTGAACATGGGCACGCACGCAGCGGTACCTTCAGGCTTGTCTTTCTTCTTGGCAAACTGTTGTAGGGCGTTGTGAAGTGTTTCCAGCTTGCGGCTCGAGGTGGTTGCCGCAACCTGAGATGACATAGCAAAGCAAAAAGAACAACGGTATAGAGGGGAGCACGACACTAGAAAACTTGCGCCCGGCTTGTACAGCGTACACCAGGTTCGAAAAGACGTTCCGTGTTGAACTCGTGAGACTGAACGCTGAATGGCAAAGCAACCAATTCGACCAAACAAGAGAGCGACAGGTCCCAGAATAAACAGCGCCTTTACTGATCCCGGCACGCTCGCTCCTGAATGGTGCCTGTCATCACTCTGGACGATGTTCCCCGCGAACCAACTATCTACTCTTGAGTGGGTTCTCGGGCTACACTCTGTACCCACACCAAGGCGCGTGTTCACTTGCTCGCCGGACGCTGTACTGCAGAATGTGTAACTTCAACCCGGGAAGCTGAGAAAGCTGAGAAAGCTGAGAATGTGAATGCGCATAGTTTCTAAATCGGTACTCCTGCTATGCATGCTCGTGTGTCGATGGTCGATATGAACAAAAATCAAGTATAGTGGATCGAAAACCACCAACGGAACCACGTCTTCAACCACCTCTACAAGATGTACAGGGCCCCATGCTCACACAAAATCGAACAAAATAGCGCCTCGTCGACACAGCACGCACGTGAATGTAGAACTCGTGCCACTGGTGAGCCGTCCTCTGGATGTTGACGATCGTTTTCTCCGCCAGCAGGTGGTTGGGTATGTAGAAGATCTGTGGGCACCATTTGCGAGACGCCCGACCGACAAGGTAAACAACAACGCGGGAGTAGCGCGGGGGTTACGGCGTATCCGGAGGGAAGCAAAAACCAAACGAGAAACAACTCTGTATTTTACGTCTAGGGAGGTAAGCGCTTGACACGGACAGATTGTGGCGAGCGACTTGCACGCAATGGACGCAAAAGCCCTTTGCATGTAGAAACTGCTGAGTGCGAAAAGGAAGAAACATAATTCGGGCAAAACGTGTGTCACGTCAATAACCATGCCCCGATGGTGCCGTCGACAATTGGACTTCCTGCGTGCACACGCAGATATGGGAGTTCGAGCGCGTGATGCCGAGCGAATCGTGGTCTTCCGCTGAATTGCACGCGGAGATACTGGCCTCTCTCACAAAAGAAAGCTAAATAGATTTGTAGAGTTGTGAATCGGTACGAAAAAACGATATATTTTACATCGGCTGCGCAGCAGCCGATATAACGATATTTTCTCCGATATATCGCCGTAGGCGATATATCGGAGAAAATATCGGGCGAGCGCAGCGAGCCGTGATGGGGGCGAGCGAAGCGAGCCCCCCCATCGGCCCCCCCCGGCTGGTGAGGGGGCCTCGCCGGAGGCGCCGCCGGAGGCAGAAAATTTGGTGCATTTTCCTTTCATTTCCCGTCAAAATGGGCCCAAATGCGGCATCAAAAAGGGCTTGACTTCAGCTGCAAACATCGCACGGAATGTAGAAAAAAAAAAAAAAGATTAAGATTGATGTATTGTCGCGTATCCTCAGCAGTACCCTCCTTCGGTCTCTCCCTGTGTCTACTTCCCGGTTGGTTCTGGACATGGTGCTGTTGTCTGCTGTTTCTGCGCTGCTGTGCTGTGTGTGTGTGGCGTACAGGGGCTCCGTACTGCTGCGCATACCCTAAATTTGATTCACGGAGCCCCTAAGAAAACATCGGTCGGAACATCGGCACGAATTTTCGATACCGATATCGATATATATCGGACGATATATATCGTGTACATCGTTCCGATTCACAACTCTATAGTTTGGGAAAAGGGTTCAACTGTCGACACGCAACATCTACAGCGAATCAAAACACTACCAGCCCCATGCGACTATATTGCAGAGCCGGCGCACGGTGAACGGCCCCGCATACACCTTGTCTTGGCCATGTTCAGTACCAACGGTGTGAGTGCGTAGCGATTTTCGCGTAGGCCTTTGACTGATGTGGGCATAAACATTACTCGCGAACACCCGGGCAGCCTATTGAGCTGCATCGGCCATTCGAACTTGCTGTTACAGCCCCGTGACCGGACGGCGCCAGAGCAACAATGACGCTGGTTGGGGCTCGTGCGACATGCCTCTCTGAACTGCTCGGTTTGGCCGGGTATCCTCGGTCCCGCTGGTCGAAATCTCGACACATCTCAAGCGGAGAAACGAGTCAAACGGTTAAGCCATCCGGTCGTGAGACGTTAACTCGATAGCGCAGGGCACCAAGACCCCCACCTGTTCGTCCCAACGCCTGAAGGAAGTCGTCCTCAGGTCGACCTTGGTCACCACTACATTCATGGGCTCCACACCCGCGGTCTGGACATCGTCGTAGATGTGCACCCGGTCCCCAACGTCGTACAGCCTCGACACGAAGATGAAGAGAACCGCGGTCATGAGGTTACTCGCCGCGGTGCCGATCATGAAGGAGAAGGCGATCAAGAACGACGCGAACGTCACGCTCAAGGAGAGCACGTCGAACCCCAGGATCGACAGCCACACGAACTGAAAAAAAAAACGTTTTATTTGTCCGTCGGTCGGTCGTGCGTGGTTTGCGGCGAGGGCGTCGTCGACAAAGGGAGGGGGGCGGGGAGGGGTGTACTCATAGTCGTGCATGCCGTAGTCGTCAGACCATTGACCTCGCATCCCCACAAAGCCGGGACGGAGCACGCCGGGTTCTCACCGGACCAGGCTCTCACATCACCAAGCGCGAAGCGCCGTGAGATATTCGGCGAGTCGCATAAAAGGTGCGCTGCATCCTGCTAAGGGTGTTCGGCACCTTGTGCTTACTTCCTTGCGTACGGATGACAGCTGCGTATGACTTGATATATTTTCTGGTGCTTTCACTTCCAGAGACAGTTGGTAGCCCTGTGTAACTGCCTCGAGGGTGCTTGACCATTTTAACGAACGTGGTGCGATCATCCACCTTGCGCGGAGTGAGGCTTCTCCACCCCGCACAACATGATCTACTCGGCCACCATTCATGGTTACCGCCAAAACAAAACCAGAGGCAAAACAACAACGGTGACCTGGTTGCCGAGCT